GATACCCCCTGGCCTAGTGAATATCGTTCGATAAGAGACTGACGCTCACTAGGGGGCGCTGAGAGTAGCTGTCAAATCAGTCAATCGGAAATGAATTCCGCCACGATGAAATTATGCGCTCTAGCCGATATCGTCACCAAGTTGATGTTAAAGAATCGGACCTACGAGTGGGAACAGGAGATCCAAAATTTACCTCGGCAGCTGGAAAGTGTCTCCGTTGAGGAACTATTGCAGGTAGGTTCATCCCGATGCACATCATGCCCTCAGCTAATGTGACAGAATGAGATATTCACCCGAACGTCCAGCGAAGGGGAGTTGAAGTTGTTGGTCAGCATAGCGAACAAGACTGCATATCACGGTATCAAAACTTACTATGGTCGTTGTTGAGCTATAACGCACTGAACCGGGCTGGCTCTTTGCGTGGAGGCATCACATGTCGAGAAAAGGACGCAATTCTGTGTTTCCTGCTGGCTGGTTGATGAAAGGGACTAAAGAAAAGGGTAGCACACGGTATAGCAGGAGATGGCCTGTTCCGGCATACTGAGTTTTGGAATTGTTTCACAGATTCCCACTCAATAATTGTTGATTTTGTTTTCTGTTCCTAATCGCTGTCATGCTTCGTTCACAGATTTGATGTAGCACGTGCAGTCTATTCCCTTGATTTGATTTTGAACACAATTGACCCGCTATAATCTGTTTACTGCATGGCGGCAAAAGCCCACCGCTCACCAAGCTCATTTACAAGGCTAAGTGCCATGATAAACACAGCAGCTAGGATGTGGCCCAGTAGCGATACCAGTGGTACAGTAGTTTTCGAAATCAGTTTGACCCCAAACTCTTTGGACTTGATTCCCGGAAAATAATTCCTTAGTTTGCGACTTCTGATTGGATGTTATTTTAGGCTTGTTGGCCCAGACCGCTTTCCACAATAGTCAATGAATTTTACAATACATATTCAGTACCGTAGTTGTTGTTGTAACTTACATGAAATTAACTGAATACGTGTCCCCCCCCTTCCCCTCACTTCCCTGCATGACAATCAAGAACTTCACGTACAACGACTTTCTGCTTACCGTTATTAGTGCAAACACGGCTCCAAGATTCTCACCTTTAAAGCTTGCTCTCATTCATGATATGATCGAGAGCAAATCTTTTCGCACATCTGAAATGGCTGAGCAGGCTGGATGTAGCAAGCAGGCCATTATCAGTATCCGCAACAACTTGCGACAATTTGGAAGCTTATACGCACTACAAACCCGGGTAGGACGAAAATGAACTGTAACGCCCCTGATGATCGAAGCCCTCTGTAATCACCTATATGAGAAACCTGGTCTCTACCTTCAGGAGATGGTTGTATTCCTATGGGACGAGTTTCAGGCCATGGTTACAACCTCCAGCACCAGAAGAGCCCTTCTGACAAAGGTTGGTCTAAAAAAAAGGCACGGAGACGTGCTAAAGAATAAAATGCCGATTTGCGGGATTATTATCTGCATTATCTAACAGGTTTTAAATCATACTACCTAGTCTACGTTGATGAATCTGGGTGTGATAAACGTGCTGGATTTAGACGGACAGGCTGGTCACCACGTGGCACGTCTCCTTTGCAAGTAACGCAATTCCATCGAGATCAGAGATACCAGATACTACCCGCCTATTCACAGGATGGGATCGTTCTGTCGCGTGTCTTTCGTGGTTCTACGGATGCCACCGTATTTGAAGGCTTTATAGCTCAGCTGCTCCAACATTGTGGACGATGGCCCGAACCTAAATCTGTTCTAGTCATGGACAACGCCTTATTTCAAGACTTCCTTGTCTATATGGTTGTTTCCGGCAAGCATTATCTCTTCAACCAATTTCCCATATGCGGGGTTTAATGGGCCGAAAACGCCAACGTCTAGTGGCTCTAGACGATGAGAGGAACTCACGTTTAATAAATATGACACCCAGACTATCCCCATCGATGTTGCGCTTCATTCATGATATGATAGAAAGCCACTCACTAACTACAACTCAAATGATGCCCCTCGGTAGGCACCATTGGCAGTCACTTATACAGGGTTCACAAAGATGTGAATCTCTGTGTGGGCTTACAGAGAAGCACATGGAGATATCTCCCCCAATACTGTCCAAAGAAGTTTTCAGGCTCTCAAATTGACGTATCGCAGCTTTGCGTTTGACATAAACTAGGCTGAAGTCACAGTTGTGGAACGTCGGTGCGAGGAAAGGCAACACCTTCTACAGCGGAGTGGTCGGTGAACTAGGTAACAATGCCAGGATAGTAAGGTCTCGCCCGAACAGCTGGCAGATCGCAGTGCGGCGAGTCGAAAATAGCCTTTATAGTATCCTTCTTCTTGGCGCTAGTTGCCATAACGACAATGTTCTGTGCATGGTTGAGCACGGGGAAAGTGAGAGTGATACACTTGTGCAGAGGTTGGGGCAAATCAGACACTAGGCTCACCTATCTATCCTCCTCGGTCAAGACTTTATGGTCGGGGAATAGGCCGTAGGTGTGGCTATCATAGCCGCAGTTAAGGAGGATTAGGTCAAAGATAGGGAACCTAGCAGAGTCTTTCTGAGTTAATCTCTCTATCACGGACTTCTCGTAGTGCTCGACTAGCTCATCTTCCTCGTTAACAAGGTCGGCATCGATAGGATAGACATTCGGAGCTCCAAGCTCTACAGGGATCTTGTCCAACAACTGGTCCTTTAGTTGCTTATAGTTGCTGTTATCATGGCCGAGCGGCACGACTCGCTCATCGGCAAAGTAGATGTGCCACTTAGCGAACTACGGAGTGTCCTCAGGGGTACCGTCGTTTCTAGGCTCGAGAAGAGCGCGAGACAGCATGCTGAGATAAGAGCCACCGGATACAGCGACTACGAAACGGCCCTGCTTATCCAAGGTTTCCTTTTGGCGCTTGAGGACGTAGCGCCTCAACTTTGGGACAAGATCATCGATGCTCGGGAAGCTCAAAAGTATGGGTTGATTTGGAGGGCGATTTATACTGTCACTGGACATAATGGGTGAGTATGATGTGAAAGGGGTAAAGTGCAGGAATTCATTTTCAGGCTGTCCGGTGGAGGGGTACGAGGTTTGGTGGGGTCACCTGAAGATGTTGTGTGCGGTGAAGACAATCTAACCATACAGTACTCCACACGCAAGTGACCACTGGTTGGTAGAATACGTTATCTCCAACTGTCCAGCAAGCTGCCCATCTGGAGATCACGACACCAAACTCAGGAAAAGGCTGCCTAGGTTCATATTCAAAACGAAACGGTTCTAAACAAGCAGTCATATCCACTCAGGGCTGAATTCACTCCACAATCTCGTAAATACTAAATAGTATATCTACCATGTCATAGGGGCTTCTTCAATAGACTACCTTGGGGCACACTGAGTGAGGGGTTGCCGATCTTGACCCATAAGTGAACCCCCATGGTATACCTATACCGAACACCTACTAGTCAAACCCCCTCTTTCTATCCAATAGATGATCCCCCAGAAGGAGTCGTTAGGGTCATGTCTGGAGAACGAAAGGCCCAATCTTTTATGCAGTTAAGAGTAAACTTTCCAAGCGCTAAGCATTATGAAGGGTTTGAGTCGATCTGTAGCGGTGTGGCATGTGTGGATTATACAGGTACTGGGGTCTTACGTATATTATTGACCCAAGCCTTGCAGTGTGGCTGGCTGAATCGGTTCAGTTACATGCAGAAACCCGAGATGAGGATGGCGTGAGTACTATACTGTAGACTAGACGGCAAATACTATGCCGCCTAGTTCGCTAGAAATTTATACAATCCACAGCTTCACACTCTAGTGATACAAACGACCATTTTGCCATCTATATTCCGTTTCCGTACCATCAATCAAGGCTGAGTATAAGTTCAACCATGGTTTCGTGTAGTATGACGGGCCGCAAGCGGGAAGATAGAGATGAACCACAGTGTTCCGAGGAAGCGATCCGACCGGACCCAGCTACTCTAGCGTGGCTGCGATTCATGGACCCACTGGTTCTTGCAAGCTGAAAGATCTGCAAGCTAAAAAATTTGCATCGATCTTTCAGCTCGCTAAATTAGCGGGAACAAGGTCGTCACTTTCTAGATATTACAGTATTCATTAGGTCTCTGCGTCCTCATAGTGGGACCCATACGACTATCACTACACGATGCTGTCATGATAGCGTGGTCGCACCGCTTATCCTTTAACTACAACATCATTATATATAGCCTCCCTATGTACCATAAGGTCACCTAAATAGGCACGTGATTTGCCGTGGTAGCAGCGGTGTTATTGAACTTACTGCATATTTGACAAATTTAAGCCTAGGCGGAGAATCATCGCGAAGAAGTGACGTATATATATTCACCAAGCCACACAGCGGGGCCGGAAACCCCACTTCTTAGATTACAACAAAATTACCGTCTCATTAACAAAGAATAGCCTCACGGGGAATCGTTAAAGGCTGACTTACAGAGCTAATCACTGCCGTAAATCTGTATTACCGCAAGGCCAGCCCCTCCTATAGGTGCTTATTATAATCCATAGAGCCATTCCCGGACGGAGGATGGAGCTAAAAGATCACTAGTGTCACAGAAGCTCGAGAGGATCGTCATTCTCGGCGTTAGTTACACGCCACTTGTACCGATGAGAATGCAGGTCCACTGTCCAATGAGATACCTTGACCTTGACCT